TGGAGATCCTCCACGGCCGCTTCCCCAGGGCATCGGGCGACAGCTGGGTACCACATCCTTAACTCGGGTCAGGGGGCATCGGGCGACAGCTGGGCCCTACATCCTTAACTCGGGCAGGAGGTTCCTCCCCTGCCCTTAACCATATCGCAACTTCCTCCGCCCGCTCTACAGCCCTTTGCCCATCTCCAGCGGGGCGCCGGTATCTCACCCGGGCTTCTGCCGGTCCGCGGAGACGTCTCCGTCGGGTCGTCTCCTCTGCCGGGCAACTCGGTACGTCGAGACTATCTCCCCACGGCAGATTCGAGCACCTCGACCTCAACTAAACAATAACGAAATCTTACGAGAGCCTTGACATAACTATACGAATCAACCCGAGAGCGTAGCTTCTGAGCAGGCTGGCGACCCGAAGGGAACCAGAAATCGAGAACGTTATCTGTATCGGTAACCGGAGCCGCCTTGGGACCGTGATTCGAAAAATCACGTCACAACACTTATTGATATAATTCATCAATCGGGCCACTTATCAACTTTTATATCCTCTCTAATATGGCTACCAGTGGTATCACCGTGCGTGCATTACTTTATATAAATTTGCGTTCATTATGCCAGTCTTCAAACTCAACACCAACGTCAACTTCCTGTATAGAGCATATTAGGAATAACTCGTCAAAAATAATCACGGTAAAAGCTTAATAAGAAACATATAGTATTGGAATACTATTAGCACGTTCAAAGTAAGTACTTTGGAATTTCTGACATGGACCCACCAAGTATAACTCGATAAGGAATCACCTAGAGTTTTATTAATTATTGAATGACCAATAAATCTTAATTAGGTACGAGAAGCAGTGGTTATCTAAAAGAGTAGCGAGGACGTTATAGGAAATTTTGAAAATACAATTAAATTGTTGGGCTAGTGCTGGATCATATAATAAGCAGATAGGCAGTGACTTGTGTACTTGGCGTTAATATTATTTCAATAGTTTTTCTTTTTTTTACAGGCATTCACAGCATTTCTGTACTTGGCATAGCTTCTTACACGTAATTGGTTTTCTGGGGGATAAGTTTATATTGGTTTTTTGCCTTTCTCTTATTTTTATTTCATACTTAACAAACAAGTACATACGTTTCGTACACGTTTTGGATTCTTGAGCATGTATACATGCTCGCTCTCCTAGTACACATTTATATTTATTTTTTCTCAGCGTTGGTACTTTTGACAAGTTGACACCTCGACTGTCACTCTGTCCTCCACTGCCATAGAATGGATGGGTCCCACGAGTGTAGTCGTGGGTGTATAATCTTTTTCACCCAAAACGTCATTTTTTGAAGAAAATTGTCTCCCCTTGTAACTGGTAACACGCGAGTAATAAATATGGAGTCTCTAAATATAAATTGGAAAAGAAATAATATATTGATTCTCTTTGATAAAAATCCAAAATGTGGCTCTAGTAAGAACCACTTCCAGGTAGAATATCTTTAGGGTTGTTAAAGGCCAAAAGCTTGAAATACATATAAAGTCTGTAAAAATAAATTGAAAATAATATATTGATTCTCTTTGATAAAAATCCAAAATGCGGGTCTAGTAAGAATCGCTTCCAGGTATAATATCTTCAGGATTGTTAAGGCCTAATAAAAACTTAAAACACATGTAAAGTCTGTAAAAATAAATTGAAAATAATATATTGACTCTCTTTGATAAAAAAACAAAATTTGGGTCTGGTAAGAAACTACCTTTACCAGATAGAATATCTTCACGGTTGTTACAGGCCAAAAGCTTAAGTGTGATTCAACTAGAAACTATCGAACTTTGTTGAGTTTCGAAAATGCCGCCGTAACTACTCGGCTAAACTAAATACGAGCATACGTTACGCTTATGGTCACTGCACCAAGTTTCATGATTGCACGGTGAATGTAGAACATATTTAGAAGCCGTAAATTGCACGTGTGTCATATGGGGGAAGAAAGGGAAAAGTAGTGAAGCATATTTATTTAAAATAAATTTTATATCAATAAGGAAAAGGCATTGCACTTGATTTGTAATATATATTTGGATTATCTTTAAATCACTTAATTTATGCATGCATGCTAATGATATCTGCATATTGGATACGCATGCAACAACCACTTAAAATGTCAAACGACCTCGTAACGTGTCGCTGATCGTAATCAGCGAACCGGCGAAAAAATAAAAAAATGACACGACTGATAGTTGCCCGACGTATTAATTATTTTGTAGTCTTTTGTTTCACTTTTTCAACGTGGCTTTTTTCCGACCTTTTTTATCTCACCCAAATTTACTGACCGAACTTAAATAACAGCGTTCGATAATAGCCCTTGTTCTAAAACCGAACAGACGTTATCAGATTGAAGGCCAGAGGTTAATTGCTACTACGATCGGAGTACTAATTCGCGTCCAGGTGGGCAGGGAATGTGGGTGGAAAGTAGGGTTGACCGCCACCCTTGCTAATTGACAGTTGGCTACCTCGGTGCCGGACTAACGATTCTAGTCGTTCGGCAAGAAGCAATTTCTGCTAAGCGACAAAGAAATACTTTTGTCTTGCTGGAAGAAATTAGATTTTTGAAAAAAGAAAGCTAAAAAAATTCCTAACGACAATCCTCATTTCTGGTTGCTCTCTGTAGATAATTATGAAGATGAAGTTTTTTTACTATCCAAATAATGAGTATACTCGATACGAATATATGATTGACCGTGGCCAATGAATATTTTTTTACAGGTACGTATCCCCAAGATGAAGTCACTGCTGAGATTTTTTTCTCCAAAAATATCATATTTTTCCCGTGAGTCAAAATCATTGTTTGTATACGTAGTTACTTAGTACGTGATAAATTCGTGATTCTCCTGGGACCTGGATTTGGGGTCAGGACAAGTTCTACGAAAGCTTCTCCTAATCCAAAAATCTTTGTCAAAAACTTACTGCGTTATCTGGATCATCGTCAGACCTTGGGTTAAGGTAACAACAAACTTTAAAGCCCGTCGCCACTTTAAGAGCGACTTACGTCACCAAGCATTTACACCTACCTGAGGCTTTAATGCTCCAAGTTTAATTAAACGAGGAGCGAAGACAAAGGGACTCGCTGTAGCATCATTTAAACGTGCTGTTTAACGAACGAGAGAAACGTAAGATTTTACTTTTGAGGGTAATGAAATTTTCTTCTTTTTTTTTTTATATCCTTATCATCTGTCTTTTCTCCCACAGGCAGAAGCTATGCTGGTGACTGCAGGAGTGAATTTTGAAAATTACCTACTTGGAGGGTGGCTTACTTTTTTATCTCAATATTTTCATTACCATGCGCCACGTTAACGAACTAACAAGGACCCCCTGGTAGTTTTCCGATTAATCAAGCCTCGTGTTGCGTGTTGAGAGACCACAAATATCCGGTTCGAGATGTCAACCGTGGCTATGGTTAATTATAATTAACATGTGTGGAATGCGTACGTAATTGTACAGCAAAAAAGCACGTAAGCTTTGTTAGGTAATATAATAAAAAAAATTTATTAAACGCGATTTCAATATTTATCAATAATATTTTACGGGGCAAACTATGCTAAAGTAAATCCATTTATGGTTTTTTTAATTATAAACAACTACTCGGTGGTCTCGGGGAGGGCGCGGGTGAAGTTTAAAATGGCTTTTATCCACCGTGTGAATTTTTTAGGTCAACTCTGGATTATGGTTGTCTGGTGAAACTCAATTTAAAAATCTAATGTAATCTAGACAAGCGGAATCCATGAGGATCTCTCAGAGAAACAGGAGTTTTCTTGGGAAATCAGAAAGAAATGAGGTAGCGAACAAGTAGTAGGTACCTGCGGGTATAGAGTCGTTTGCTTAAAGCATATAAGTAGGTAGTACGATGATATCCTCCAGGACGAATGAAACAGCCAGTTCTTGATTTTTCATAGGAGCTTGAAACAAACTTTTTCGAATACTTCTTTGTTATGTTCCTTGCCACCTCGGCGATAAAAGTACAGTAATTTAAAGATTTTTTTTTTGTTTTCAACTTATTTACTTAACGTATCTATTCTTTACTATTTCTTCAGGTAGTATTCTTTATACAAAATATCAGAGAAGCATTGGTACAGTTCTGAATAGGTATTCAATTCATTTCATTCCTGCCAATTCCCCATTTTCCTTCGCGTCTTTCATTAAAAGTCTTCTTGCCTCTTTCAACGTTTTCTCTTGATTCAGTCTGGTGGCTGCCATCCTTTCAGATTCAATACATTCAATGCTGGGCAATCTCTTAGAATGCCTTTGCGAAATTTCTTGTTTCTTATGGTTTTAGGAGTGTTGAATAATATCCATCAATCAGTGACAATTCCAATGGGTTCTTCAGGTGGGGCAGGCACTTCGTGAGATGATGTAATGTGAAATTCAGTAGGACGGTACATTATTCAGATAATCATCCAAGGGGATTGAATGACATGAAATTTTACTTCGTCAGCTCCTAACCACTCCTGTCTCTAAAATCAGTTGAAATATTCAAAACGTTGAATTCTCCAAGGTTCAAGTTCTTCAATTATTTGATAATGGATCTTTATTTGACATACTCGCCTTATTTAGATTTACAATCAATTGTTTCAGTACGCTGAACATATTGCTTTACTAATTGAATCGGATTGATGCTTAATGTGAATTAAAAAAATTAAAAATTCATTATCGAGTCAACACTTACGATGTCCCACGATAAGAATACAACGAATATATCCACAGCAAAAAACGGAAACAAATTATTGCGTGCAATGTATCATGGCGTATACAAAAATTACACAGAACACCTGACGTGTCGCGTTAGACTAAGAAAATAATCCCTCGGCATGAGTAATTTTTTTTAACATAAATATTTTATCTCCAAATTTATTACTTAGCATCCCTTAAGTTTCCAAAAAAAAGTCAAAATTAACTTTTATAATTGCATAAGATTTCCATCGACACAATTCGTAAGATCGATCGACTCTTCTCTCTCGGCAACTCCAACTAAATTATCCAAGTGGGTCCTGATTATTAAATTGGAATATTTGAATAAAAAGAGGGGCAGGCACGTATTTCTGGGTAAAAACTTCCTTTTCCAACAGCCATGGATTCTCGAGGTGTTAGAGCTTTTCAAGAGGATCGTTCATTTGTTTTATGGATCCTCCGATGTAACGGATGCCGTCAGACTCTCAAGTGACTTCATTCATGCGGCCGCGGTGCTCTTGATTCACCGTACGATGTGACGACTTTGTTGCATCTACTTTGCATCGCATTTACATGTGTCTACCGGGATGCGTTTCCCATTCGAAAGTGCAATACAGCGAATGAATGAGTACCCAATGGCATTACCAAGCGAACAGAACTTCCGGGACGGCGCTGCTGTGCAAATGCGTTGAGTATGCAACTGCGAATGATGTATAAATAAAACATTTGCTTTGGCCAAGAGTTACGTACGTATCTCACGTGGCAGCAATAACACAACTCGCGGCATACGTGTCATACGTGTGTATGCAATATGCATATTCGGTATCTGAGCAAAGAGACTTAACGTAAATGCACTTCTAGAGCGCATCTTGTTGCATCAGAATGGGAGGGGTCAGTTTAATGCACTTTAAGAACACTTGGTGACCTGAAGTGTACATACCTGTTGAATGGTCTATAGCAAAGTACGGTGCATTTAGGTTATATTAATTATAATGACAAAATGAATTATCATAGCAATTCTGTACAGATAATTTATTGTAATTAGGTATTAACTAATTGATAAGTCAAGTGGAACTTACACAGTAACGAGTACTTGCAGAAGCTAGTGTTTTTATGTTATTTTTTATATAATTAGCTCAATTGTTATTTTTATGTATTGTTAAATTAATTTATCCTGTTAATTTGGACAGGGTCTGTTCCAACCGGAAGTACCACACACAAGTGTTATAGGGTGTAAAGTATTTTGCAGGAAGGAGAGGGATCGATTGAACGATTTAATTATTAGAGTAAAAATTTTACAAAAAAAAATCAATATTATGATTATACCAATTATACCACAAAATATGTATGGTGTGGAATGACACAAAGTCAACGTAGCATTTACGTTTTTAATTTTATCTTTTTAACACGTTTATTTGATATTCAAGTTGATCCTCTTCTTTCATAAAATATAAGATTTGCAGGGCATTTGTGGGTGAAAAAAAAATTTAATACACTCAATGCAGCCGTAAGTATTCACGAGGATAATTCCAGTAACGCGTTTACCTCGCATTACCTGCGAAAGCTCAAAAGCTTTTGACTGGCTGTTACTAACGGGTGGAAAGCTTTTTTTAGTGCTCATATACAACCGTAATCATTTGAACGCAGTAACGTCGTGGTTACGTGTGACGAATAAAGAGCAAAGGTATCGATTTTCTTTTTTACACATACTCAGAGTATTACCTCTGTAGCTTTTTTTTTATATTCACCAGGGATTTTGATAACGTTTTGTAAATTTATCTTGGCACGTCTAGACGTGGGTGGTACGTGAATCGGAATTATTCGTAAACATCAGTGACGCCCGTATTATTTGAGCAAATATGAAAATAATTGTTTTGTGGAGCTTTTGGATTATAAGCACGAGTGACGTCACCTTGCATCACTCTAGCCGAATTAAAATCTTCACTTTCAAGTCTCGAAATTATATAGGCTACGACGATGTTCGTTTTAATTTCGCAGCTTAATGCAAATTAATTTTACTGAGTAGTCAAGTAATGCGGGGAACCCTCGAGATACTGATTATACGAAGTCCTAGTGACCCATGCGAATTGGCTTAGACTGTAGTTGGCAATGCGGATCGGACTTAAGGTCGTCGCGCAATTGGAAATCGGATATTGCTATCGCTAGTGCTAACACGGGGCTTCAATTCAGAGTCAATTGTATTAAGTATAATCGACAAGTCACTGGATCTATTGATTTCCAAGACCTTAGGGCGAATACGCATTTAAAGATTTTTTTTAAAAGAGACATGCGAATTCAACATTTTCGTAAGCAAGCTCTAAGCGAATTTTGATTCTTATCGCGTCGCCTCGATGAGATTTGCTTTCGTCGATTTGAAAAGGTAGTTACATGAGAACGACCTATCATTCTTTGTCGCGCAAACTGACTCTTCTGCTACTTTTGGATAATTCAACGAATATACAGTCATCGTCAAAATGTATCAGAAGCCAAGTCGAGTAATTCACGGACGACTGTCGCTGACATGAAAATAGATGAATATTTTTTTTATTCTTACCTGCGATAATTAACCGCTTGAAAAATTAGATCAGCCAAAAAGTTTCATGTCAAAAATAATTTTTTCGTTTTTTCGACACTCATTATACCAAGTGCTAAAGCTATATTGTATCTTGTGTTATGTATACATACAAAGTTTTTGCACAATCACGCAATAGCGTTGCTTTAGGTCTGACCTTAATGTTTACACGCTACCTTATAGTTAGCTTAGTTAAATTGGTACCCCTTTCTTGGTTAAGCATCAGTATAACGAAAAGCACTTGATGCGAAGCACTCGTCCTACTAATTTTATCCACGCGTAACTTTTCATATGCTTTGTTCGATGAGCCGTTGATACGCTGCAAATAAAGTCAAACCAAATAACATTTTATATTCGTACCTTTGTAGTACTTGGGTCCTTTATGTATTTTGGGGTAAAAAAGAACCCCTCGACAATACTCCCACTAGACCACATAAGTAGCATAAGTATATTTGTGCAGTTAGCAAAAGTTTCTCGAGTGCATTAACGCCACGCTCGCGCAAGAGCGAGACGAACGAATAAACGCGATGGGTTTTTTTTTTTACATGGACTGTACAAATAAATAAGCAATGAGTCTGGCCGGGATGCATTGGCGTAACTACTGCGAGGATACATCCTCACTAAAAGTTCTTTCCGGTGGTTCTGGCCGGACAAGCATTTTTTCGATTTACCGGAAACGCCGGATTTTAATTTTCAAAATAAAATGGAGGTTGGTACTCGGTTGTAACTTCGGAATATTCACGTAGAGTAATACTTGCCGATCTACCTGCAGATGGCGCCAGCTTCTTACTATTGACTTCGTACGCCTATGTAACTCCGCTCGGAATTTCATTGAAAATCGCGATTTCTATTGCGTCTGATGTTAATCGGATTACAGTTTTTTTGCGAAAAAGCCTTGACAGTGTAAATATTACAGGTGAAAGGAACGAAGGGTGAAATTAGAGAGGCTGTTGAAAATGATGAGAGACTCTTATAAGCATCCTCAGGCATTTCCGTCCTCGCTCGAGTTTGTCAAGTTTTCTCGTAAAGAGACGCAAACTTGAGAGGATAAAAAGGATATGACTGTATAATTCAACTAAATTTGTAAAAATCGTACTCGAGTTGCATTTTAACAAAAAACCACTTTTTCCACATGGCCCCTGCACGTAACTCCGGTAAACCATTTGGGAAATACGGTCACTCGTTAAGTCACGTTGAATTACGGCTGACTTATTAAATAATTAGACTTT